TCTATCTGCAACCTCATGGTACAGCTAATTCCATATTCTATTACCAAAACAGGGAATTGATCTTGGTTCAATGAAGAGTGAAAAGGGCACAGAAATAGCAGTGCCAGGCATACCTAAAAATGTGGTGTCAGCCTGGTGAAGTCATAATGCAGGGCTAATTGCATGCCAAACATCACAAGCAGCAAGCAATAGTCATGGCTAAATGATTCCACAACTAACCGATCAGATCTAAGTTCTGCAGTCCTGCCACATCCAGTCATGAATGGTGGTAGACAACGAAACAACTCAAAGGAGGACAGTGCTTTACAAATACATGTATCCTCAATGATGGGGGAGACCAGCTTATCAGCATAAAAAACAATTCTGAAGCACTTGCAACAATCCTCAGTCAGAAGTGCCAAATGGATGATCCATCTTGGGCTCTTCCAATTTGATTCACTTCACATGATCTCATGAAATGGCCGAAAGCACTGGATACTACAAGAGCTCTGAAAACATTCAGGCAATAGTATCAAAGACTTATGCTCCAGAATTTGCTGTGCCCCTAACCAATGCTATTTCAGTACAGCTGCAACGCTAGCATCTACCTGATAATATGGAAAAATGTCCAGGAGTATATAATGTTCACAAAAAGTAGGAAAAGTCCAAGCTGGCCAATTAGCATCCCATCAGTCTACTGTCACTCATCAACAAAATGATGGAGAGGGTCATCAATCGTAGCACTTGCTTCACAATAATCTGCTCAGTTTGGGTTCTGTCAGGGCCAAAAAACTCCTGACTTCACAATTTTGGTTCACACATGTACAAAAAAAATGAACTCTAGATGACTGCTCTTGACATCAAGGTTGCATTTGACTGCATGTGACATCGAGGAACCTTACCAAAGCTAGAGTAAATGGAAATCAGGAGAAAAATTCTCTACTGGTTGAAGGTGTACCAAACACAAAGGAAGATAGCTAAAGTGTAACTGGTAAGCTTATAGATATGACATGAAAATTGGTGGCATTGTTGATAGGGAGGAGGATGGTCTCGACCTACAGTCTGATATTGATCAGCTGGTAAACTGGGCAGAGCAATGGCACAGGAATCTAATCCTGATAAGTGCGAGGTGATACACTTTGGGCAGTCTAATAAGGGAAGGATATAAACAATGAATGAGAGGACTGAGGAACAAAGGAACCTTGGTGCGCAAGTCCACAGATCCCCAAAGTTGTCAGTACAGCACACAGGATGGTGAAGGCGGCATATGGGATGCTGTGTTAGTCAGGGCACAGAATATAGGAACAAGGAAGTCTTGTTACAATTTTATAAAACATTGGTTAGGCCACAGTGTGGTGACCAGAAATGCAAAGAGTTTTCTATCAGAACGACATGACTGCAAAGGCGAGGGTGCAAAGAAGATTCCCAGGATATTGCCTGGGATGAAATGTCTCAAGGGGAGGCCTAGTGCTAATATCGCTGGACTGTTGATCCAGAGACCCAGTAATATTCTGGGGACCTAGGTTCAAATCCCACCATGGTAGATAGTAGGATTTGAATTTTAAAAAAATCTGGAATTAAGAGTCAAATGATGATCATGAATCCATTGTTGATTGTCAGACAAGCCCATCTGCTTCACTAATATCTTTTAGGAAGGAAATCTACCATCTTTACCAGGTTTGGTCTACATGTGACTCCAGACCCACATCGATGTGGGTGACTTTTAACTGCCCTCTGGGCAATTAGGGATGGGCAATAAATGCTGGTCCAGCCAGCGATTCCATGAATGAATAATAAAAAAAATTGAGGAGAGACTGGATAGTCTGGGCTTCTTTACCTTTGGGCAGATGTGTCTAAGACCAACTGGCACAAGTTTAAGGTGAGGACTAATTGGTTTAAAGGAGATCTGAGGAACACCCTTCTTTCCCACCCAGAGTGTGGTACAAATATGGAGTGGACATCGTACTGTAGGTAAATGGGAAGTATAGTTTGGTGTTTGTTGGTCAGCGTTGACATGGTGGGCTGAAGGGCCTGTTTCTATGCTGTATGGCTCTATGGTTTTTGGGATTTCAGTCATCTCAGCTCCAGAAATTCCTCAGGGTAGGATCCAACACCCATCTTCAGCTGCTTCATCAATGACCATACTTCAATTCTAAAGTCAGAAGTGGGCATGTTTGCTGATGACTGCTAAAGATTCAGCACAATTCATGTCCCACCAGACAATAATGTCAAAATACAGCAAGACCTGGACAATATCTAGATTTTGGCTGATAAACAGCAAGTAACATTCACAGCATACAACTGCTAGGCAAACAGCACCTCCAACAAGAGAATCCAACTATCGTCCATTCAATGGCATCATCATCGCTACATTCCCTACTATTGAAATCCTGGAAGTTACCATCGATCAGAAACTGAACTAGGCTAGCTTTGTAAATACAGAGGTTACGTGAGCAGATCAGAGTTTAAGAATCTTGTGGGTGCAACTCATTTCCTGACTCACCAAATCTTGTCCACCATCTATAAAACACAAGTCAATAGTGCGATGTATATAGATATTGGTGGAGCAGTCACCACCAAGGTCCCCACTTGGATGAGCACAGGTCCAACTACATTCAAGAAGGTTGACAACATCCAGGACAATGCAACCCACTTGACTGGCACTGCATCCATAAACATTCATTACCTCCACCACTGATGAGTAGCAGCTGTGTGCTTAAGATTCACCACAGCTCCTTACACAGCACCTCCAAAACCCTCAACTACTACCACCTAGGAGGACAAGGGCAATAGATACGTGGAAACACCATCTGCAAGTTCCACTCCAAGCCACTCTCAATTCTAAATTGGAAATGCATCATAGTTCCTTCTGTGACGCTGGTTTAACATCCTGGAAATCCCTCCCTAACAGCATCATGGTGGAACCTACAGCAAATGGTTCAAGTGGTACATTGGCTCAAGAAGACAGCTCACCATCACCTTCTAAAGTGCAATTAGGGATGGGCAATGATACCCACATGTCACGAATGAATTAAAAGGCAAATATAATGTAGTCAAATAATTACCACTTAAGGGCTTTCTGTTGCTGTTGTTTTATTGTCCTCCTACTTCCTATCCCCTCAAATGATACTCTTTCCCACCCACTGGCTGGGCCTGCCAGGATAATGCTGGCAAAACCCCCTCACTTATCTGGGTACTTAGCTCCAGCAATGGCACTCTGTCCCTGTGACATGGCTAGGACAAGAAACCCACTGACCATTTAATTGGTCAGCATTTCTGAGATGCCAGACTCGCTCACAAATGTGGGTGGAAATCTCGCAGCCCAACAGCTATAAAGTAAGCTTGAGACTTAGAAGCAATGTGGAAGTGTCCTCTGCGTAAAATACCACCCACTAAAACTATGGAATTCGCTTGAGTAAGGTAAAATTAATGTAAAGTCACCATAGTCCGAGAGGACCACAGTGCTGGACTCTCATTAGAAAAAGACAGAGACATCCGGTCAACTGAGCTAAAGACCCTCTTTACTCGAGTATAACACAGTAAACTATATACCACTACAACTGATCATCTAGTACAGTGTCACTTGGGGATGTTAACATGATTTGATCAAAAGTGCTTACCAATACAAAAATCAAAAAAAAACATATTTGTTGTTAGGTCTATACATATGACACTACAGCATATTCTGATAGCAGCAATTTGCCTTGAGGTGTTTTCGATAAACTACTTCTATGCGGCAATTTAACTTACCTGTTCCAAGTCACATTAACATTTGCACTTTTTATAGTGTGCTATTGCAAGGTACCCAAAGAGTGTGTGTGTGTGTGTGGGGGTGTGTGTGTGTATGTATTGGATTTACTCTCATTTGCTTAAAGTTATTGGCTTGTCTTTGGTTAATAATAAAAGTTGCTGAATCTCATTATGCTTTAGAGTTTGATCTGTCAGGGGACAATAAAGATAACATTGCAGTTCTGGGATTTGCTGAAATGACAGGATGATTAAGATTCGTGCTGCATTGGGAAACAGTTAGCTGAGGCAATTTTGAGATCAGAACAATGGAAGAAAAGCCTAAAACTGTTGGAATTTGATTTGAAGAAAGCACATCCTTTCTTGGGTCTTGTTTACAATAACACTTGTCATGCAACAATAACACCTGTCATGGCATGATTCATAATCATTTGACAGTTTTCGTGAGAAACAGACTATGGAGATCTCACGCCTTTCTTAACAATTTAATACATTCAGGATTGGAAAGGAACAACGGCAAGCTCACACCTCCACCCAGAAAAGGAGACCACAGTAGTCAGCTTCATTTCTCTGTATGTCTACTGCTTAAAGGAAGTCTGTCAGTCTGAGTTTGAGTCTCATACAAATAAACAAGGGTTGCCAAAAACCATAATCTGGTATCAGGAATCTTGCAAACTTTTTGTAGTTTCTGGCATAGACCCTTCTTTCAAACCAAATTGTGATGACTACTGAATAAACGTTGAAGTAAATTCATTAAAATTTAACCTTTCCACAGCACACACACATGCAGTTATTAGAGTACTACCAATTGTCTGCCTGTGCTTCACAAGGTAATTGTCATGAAATTTAAAAAGAACTTTTCTCATGATATCACTTTACAGTTTTCATTATCATCCCCTTCTGTGTTCACAGCCATGAACCTGGAAGGTGGACACAAAACGTTGCAAAAGTCACAATAAATGCCTATTAACATGACAGCAGCCCAATTCAACCAGATCTCAGATGTTCCCTCACTTCATCTCAGTTGACCATTGCTTATCACCTCTCAGCTGGGACTGGAAGCTCTTGTACAGTGAGGAAAGATGGAGGAGAAAATTGCAATAAGCTGGTGATGTGGTATGCTGCTTACACCAGTCCTTCTCTATGCTTTAAGCATTTTGCATTCAAGATGATCTTATGCAATCAAGCTTAAATCCCATGAAGAAAAGAAACATTTCAATTTTGAGGAACTGTATTTGCAGAAATATTCACAAATTGCACTACTCACCTGAAACACATTTTCCATTGCATGAAACCCACGGATTAGATTTAAAGCTGCACACAGTAAACATAGTAAACAAGATATGATTCCCGGTAGGGTTACTGGTTCCAGCCTCTGATTTGGAGCTGTGGGAATACAAATGAAAAAGGTGGCATGAAGCTAGCTGCATATTTCAATTGCTAACACAGCTCACATGCTCCCAACAGAACAAACCATACTGACGGCTTGCCAGATAATCGGATGCGAAACTGAGCACAGAGACTAGCTATGATTCTCATTTGGTGCCAAGTTTGCTCATGTCAATCAAGGCAATTACACTACAAAAAATTGGCCTCAACAATCCCAATCTTGAGTAGGAGGAATGCGTCCAGGACTCCTGCTCCTAAGGTCTATCCACATAAGATGTTAGACATGTTTACACTTGGGCTGTGATGCTTCTGTGAGCCATTAGCAGGTCAGCATTTACCTTCTAAGAAGGGTGTTTATTTGGGCAAAGCACTCAAAAGCTAAGAACTGTAATCTAGCTAGAGGTAACAGCAACATCAGAATAAAATAAAATTGTTTTAATTTAAAAATAAACCAAGTGATTTACCATCTGTGGTCTGTTTAATGTCAGTGACTGGGTACAGAAAAATTAAAGATTGGTGAAGATATATTGAAAAGCTGTTTCCACCTCCAGAAGGGCTGGTAATCAGAAAACACAGATACAAAACAATTGACAAAGAGGTTTTGAGGGTGGAGGAGAAGAGATGAGAATCTTTTTTAATGATGATCTGGAAAGTACGATCTGAAAGGGATGGTGTAAGCAGATATGTTACATTTGAAAAAGGAATTGGGTGCATATTAACTTGGAAATAAGTAAAAGACAGTGGGGAAACAAAGCAAGGGAGCATGTTGAATTGGATCACTCTTTCAAAGACAAACCAAGCCCTCATTCAAGAGCTGCTGCATGCTAATAAAACCACAAACACACAATACTTGGGGAATACCTGCAGTGGCAAACAGACAAATGCTTACACCTGTAAAGAATCTTGATTGACCAGAATCAAGAAGCTAAATGTCCAGGATTTTGCTATTACACTGTCTAATCATTTTCAGGTGCTTCATCAATGACCTCGTTTCCATTATACGGTAAGAAACAGGAACATTCCTGGATGATAGTACAACAGTCAATATCATTTGTGATACCACCTCAGAATATTAAAACAGTCTATGCCTGTACGCAACTCCACTGCCTTTTGTCATTTTTATATAAATGATTTGGATGTGAACATATGAGGTATGGTTAGTAACTTTGCAGATGACACCAAAATTGGAGGTGTACCTTACAGAGGTTTATACAGTCATGGCAGATAGGGGACATGGATAGGGTGAATGGTCAAGGTGATTTCCCCAGGGTAGGGTAGGGTAGTCCAAGAGTACAGGGCATAGCTTTAAGGTGAAAGGGGAAAAATTTAAAGTGGACCTAAGATGCAACTTTTTCAAGCAGAGAGTGCTGTATGTATGTATGGAACGAGCTGCCAGAGGAAGTGGTGGAGGCTGGTATAATTACAACATTTAAAAGGCATCTGGGTGGGTATATGAATACAAAGGGTTTAGAGGGATATGGGCCAAATGCTGGCAAATGGGACTAGATTTATTTAGGATATCTGGTCAGCATGGACAAGTTGGACCAAAGGGTCCGTTTCCGTGCTATATATCTGTGACTCTATAGTGTCCAGGCTTTTGCTGCTAAGTGGTAAGTCACACTCATGCCACGCAAGTGCTAGGGAATGACCTCTCCACCAAAAGAGAATCTCACCATCAGCCCTAGCCATGCAATGGCATTACCATTGCTGACTCCCCCACCATCAACATCTTGGGGGCTATTGACCAGAAATAGGCTCACCATATAAATATGGTAGCTACAAAGCAGGACAACACAGCCTACAAGACATGCACTGTTGTAACTTGTCAAGGTGCCTCTGACAACACCTTCTAAGCTCATTGCCTGTACCTCCTCGAAGGAGAAGGAAAGCAAGTACTTGGAAACACCATCTACAGCAAGTTGCCCTCCAAGCCATGAATCATCCTGACTTGGAACTATATCCATGTTCCTTCACTGTCTCTGGACAAAATCCTAGAACTCCCTTCTTATCAATACTATGAGCATACCGACACATTGAGGACTGCAGCAGTTCAAGGAGGTGGTCCTCACAAGCACTTCTCAAGGAAATTAGGGATTGGCAACAAAAACTGGACTAGCCTTGATGCCCATATCTCATGAATGAAGAGAAAAAAAAATCAGCACTGATGTGACAATGGAGGCATTTATTGCTTCATATACTGAAGCTCCAAAATCACCAGTAATTTGCCATTTGCTGCAGCTATCACATCCAGGCTAAGTGTTAAACAACAGTGACCTGACTAAGAACACCAAACTATAAGTCTGGACAAAACTGAAAAGCAGTTTGAATATGGCAAACAGACAACATGGTTCTGTGGACATATACAACGTACCCAGAAGCATTTAGGCCAATTTGTACTGCAGAGAGAGTTGCATCAATAAATTATAAAATAAATTGGTCATTAAATTTTTCAGCACAGAAAATGCAGTGTCTTTTTTCCACATTCATGCTTTCTCGCATAGACTTTTTAATATGCCAATCATTCAAGCAACTTATTCTCTTTCAAAAAAAATGAACTCTGCTTCAATAACTGTGGCAGAATTTCATACATCAAACATCTCTGATTCTTCTGGTTATCTCAAAGGTGCGCTCTCGTCACAAGTGGAAACAATCCATAATCTTAAAGCTTTCTATCAGGATATTGCTTCACCTGCTAGGCTATAATTTAAAAAAAGCTTCAACTTTTGCACCATCTCTTCATAGCTGTAATTCCTACAGCTCCATCCTTGATACATCTTTCATTGGTCACCTGTTTGTTATGGATCACACTAGATCCCCTCAAAATAATTTCAGAAAATAGCCTAGACCCTCACTTTTTCTTATTTTAAAGGTGATGTCAAGTGCTGTGTTCCAGATGCAATGCGACTGGTCAAACTACTAAGCAAAACATGATTTATTTAAACACTACAGTTAAAATATAAACAAAACAAAGAGGAATTTAGAATAACTTAACTATCAGAAAAGTTAACTGAATAACAGATACAGTACCTATTACGAATTAATTGTTCCAATATACTAACAATGCACAAACACACCCCTTGGCACAAAGGCAAACTCAGTCACAGATTCTCAAATGCAGTTCTCGATTCGAGGATGGAAAAGAAACATCGAGAAGATTCTGAGAGAACAGCAGCCAGGAGACATTCACTGAAGCTTCCAACTCTTTTGAGACGCCAATAGTCTCTGATTAAAACTAAATCTAAAACTAAAATAAACTAGAAAGCCTGGTCTGAGAGAGCTGGCCACACACAGGCTGCTTACATTGCCCCAAAATTTAAAAAAAACCCAAGGCCTCACAATTTGTTTACTTTCTTAGAGATAGCTCTGCAACTCTGCCTTACAACCTCTCTTCAAAAAAAAACCAGGAACAAAATAACCTCTTAAGATGACAGCATCGTCACATCTTTCATTTCCTTAATGGGTTATTCAATACCATACACAATGTTTCAACAATATCCAAAGTAAGCTCTTGTAAAAAATCAAGTCCTTGCATTTCGAGACAGAATATTAAAGATTCTGTTTGCTTTTTATCGCCAGGAGACTACTCAGTTAACTTTACAATTTATGGTATATTTGCCTTCTCCATTGTTACTCCTAAAAGTGTACTGTTCCACAATTTTTCTCTTTCATTACAGTCATAGAGATGTACAGCTTTGGTCTAATTCATCCATGTTGACCAGACATCCTAAATTAACCTAGTCCCATTTGCCAGCAATTGGCCCATATCCCTCTAAACGCTTCCTATTCATATACCCATCCAGGTGCCTTTTAAATGTTGTAATTGTACCATCCTCCACTACTTCCTCTGGCAGGTCATTCCATACACGCACCACCCTTTGCGTGAAAAAGTTGCCCTTTAGGTCCCTTTTAAATCTTTCCCCTCTCACCTTAAACCTCTGCCCTGTACTCTTGGACTCTCCTACCCTAGGGGAAACTCCTTGACCATTTACTCTATCCATGCCCCTCATGATTTTAGAAACTTCTAGAATGTCACCCCTCAGCCTCTGACACCCCAGGGAAAATAGCCCCAGTCTATTCAGCCTCTCCCAATGGCTCAAACCCTCCAACACTGGCAACATTCTTGTAAATCTTTTCTGAACCCTTCCAAGTTTCACAACATTGTTCCTACAGCAGGCAGACAGAATTGAGCGCAATATCCCAAAAGTGGCCTGACCAATGACCGGTTCAGCTGCAACATGACCTCCCAACTCCTATACTCAATGCACTGACCAATAAAGGCAAGCGTACTGTATGCCTTCTTTACTACCTTGCCTACCTGCGACTCCACTTTCAAGGAACTATGAACCTGCACTCCAAGGTCTCTTTGTTTAGCAACATTCTCCAAGTCCTTACCTGCAAGTGTATAAGTCCTACCCTGATTTGGCCTCCAAATGTCGCACCTTACATTTATCTAGATTAAGCTTCATCTGTATTTGCCACTTAAATGCCCACTCTGGTAATCTGTGCATTCCTTCAACTTTTCAATCCTCATTGCAACTTGCCAACACATTCCCTTCCATCACAAATTTGGTGTCAAGCAGCAAATTCTAATATTGTTTGCTCAATTCCTGCAAATTAAACATAATTTACCAAAACATTTACTTGTGAAACACCATTCATTACATATTTACAAATCAGAAACATTTCTTCAGCCCCATTTTTTTCTTCTCTCCATCCTTTCCCACCTAAGTGGCAGCATTTTGTTTAACTCCATGTGTCATCGCCACCACAAGTTTCTAATGTCATGCCACATTAAGTACTTTTTTTCAAACTAGTTCTGAAGAAAGATCACTAGACCCGAAATGTTAACTGTTATCTCTCCACAGATGGTGCCTGACCTGATGAGTATTTCCTCTAATTTCTGATTTTTTTTTCCTGATTCCAGCATCCACAGTTCTTTTGGTTTTTTACTTTTTTCAAAATCCATTTGAACTATATTCATTGCATCTCTTTTATCT